TTAAAATCACAAAGAGGAAGTGGCAGGGCTAACCCACCCACTTAGGCAATCCGGCCTCTCACGCCGAGTCCATGGTCTTGTCATTCCTCAGGCCCTGCCGATGAGGACAAGTTCTGCGCCTCCGCTTCCCGCCAGTGTGCCGAACACAAGGTAGAACACAGAGTAGGCCCCTGGCGAATGCTCGCCTGGTGAGGAGAGGCCTGTGTGAGGGACAAGGGTGCAAGGCTCATCAGATGACCAACTGGGGTCATGGGCTGGGGTGTACCTGAAGCCAGTGAACCCAGAAAGACGGCAGGAAAGGACCCTCCTGTGGAGGCCTACTGTAGACGGCCGGCTGGACTGTGAGCTCCGCTGGCTGCCCGCACCCTCACAGCGCAGCACCTGATGAGCTCAAGGCACACCTGCTGAACGACAGCAGAGACTCCGCAGCCCTGAAGCCCCAAGCCATCTGGGAGAAGGTAACTCCTTTGGGATTAGAGGACAGGAATGTATACTTTAAGACTGGCAGAAGTTGCCTGTGTGGCCACCAATCCGCCTGACATTTATTGGGCGCCTTTTGTGTGTAGGGTCTTGGGCTGAGCGCTAGGAGGACGAAGAGAATGTGTAACACACGTTCTTTGCCACTGGTCTCATGTGCCTCCCATCCTCAAGGCACGCCATGGCTGTGGAGTTCATCTGCAGTCCTTCCTGCCCAGTGTCCATGCTCTGACCCTTGGGTTATAGCCCTCCACCCCGATCTTCCTTTGGCGAACAACCACTTCTTTGTATGGGAACTGACCCTTCTCCATACCCCAACTGCAGGGGTGGTCACATGGCCCAGGACTGGCCAATCAGCACATATCATCCTGTAGGCCACCATGATTGGCCCAAGGATGGACATGGGACCTAAGCCGGTCCAATGAAAGTCAGTCCCAGGACTTCTCTTGGACTACTGGGAAAGAGACACTCTCTTTGCAGGGAGGTTACTAACTGTAGGGTTGATGGAACCCTGGAGCCATAGGCACTGGGCCAGCCTGGGAGAAAAGGCAACCCAGGAGAAATCAGGAGAGAGAGAGAGAGAGAGAGAGAGAGAGAGAATGAGCTAATATAATAATCATTTGAGACTGTGAATCTAGCAGATCTGTTGCCTGAATATTCTGTTACATGAGCTAAAACCAAACACTTCCCTTGCCTTCCCATCACCCCCTCCCCTTTTTTTTTGTATTGCTAAGCCACTTCCGCTGTAACTGGAAAAATCCTATTGTAGTATCAACCACTTACTCTCCTCTGGCCCAGAAGCACCCTCAGGCCCAAAGCCCAGCTTGAGGCCTCAACCCTTCACCCTCGCACAGTAATTCCTGTACCCCTCCCCTCTCTGTGGCCCACACCCCTGTGGGCAGTCTAGGCCTGAATTATCTCAAGAGTCTTCCACTTGACTCCAGTCTGGCGGCTCATCCCCAATCCACCTTCCACACTGCCAAAAGAGTTGAGAGTCCATCTTTCTGAAGCAGACGATGTTGGATCATGTCCCTTCCTTGCTTAACACCTTGGGAGGCTCATCCCTGTCCATAGCACAGTTTCCCAAAGGACGAGTGCAGCTCTCTATAGTTAGCTGAGATGATTTTAGATGCTATGGACACAGCACTCAAAAACAGTGAGACATATAACAAGAAACATTGGCCTTTTTAATTCTCTTGCAAGCCTTCCAGTTTTCTCATGGAAAAAAGCTCAGCATGGTGTCACTATGGCTTTGACATCTCTATCACTGCTTCTCTCCCTTTTTAACAAAAAGAGAGAAGGCCTCATGCTCAGAACCTTCCGCAGCAGACTGGAATTTTAGAACACTGGTTTGTTTTCATGTTTTAATCTTTAGCATTTGAAAACATTCCTTTTTTTTTTTATGGTCACTTTCTATTTGTGGAAAGTAATACTGGTTTTCATTTATGGTAGTTAAAGAAAGTTTTCTTGGAAAACTAATTTGTATAAACACTTAAAATGCGTCTATTTAAAGAAACAAATAAGAGGTGGTACTCAGATATGGTGAATGGCGTTAGGCAGATGATTATCTACAGGATGAAGTGTGAGCTACTCAGACAGGCACACCGGCCCTTTACAGTCCTCCCCTTGATCACTGCTCCAGCCTCAAAGCCTACTGCATCCACATCTTATCCCTTAAACCCACTAGTCTTCCCTCCAAGCCTCTGTCTATGCTGTTCCTTCTGCCTGGATGCCCCTTTTCCACCACTTCCTCATCAGCCTAGAACAATCCCACTTATTTTTTAAGACCCAAGTCAATGTTATCATTTACTATGGCTCTAGCTTTGCCCAACAACTCGGGGATTTCCACTGTATCTGTGAACAGCCGCTGTGTTCTCTCAGAACACACCGTGTGGGTTACTGACAGGAGGGTTTTCACTGTGAATCTGAAAGATCCCAGAAGACCCGACAGTCTTTCACTTCTTTGCCTCCAGCACCTGGCACAGGTACTGGACACATGAGATGAACTGAAGGGACTCTAGCAGGGGGTGTGGACCCATTTAGATATAAGCACATCTGAAGACAGCACAGGCTGGAGCCCGAGGAGTAGGAGATGAATTCCAAAAAAAGGGAAGGGGGTGATCTCAGGGACAGGTGCCCGAGGCCAGCCCCACAGTACAAGCGCGCGGGTTCCTTCAGGAAAGAGGAGGGGGGCGAGTGTTAGGAACTGAATCGTGTACCCCAAAATATGTGTTGGAATCCTAACCCCTGTACCTGTGGATGTAATTTCATTTGAGAATAGGAGTTTCTTTGTTATGTTAATGAGGCCATATCAGTGTTGAGTGTGTCTTAAGTCAATCATTTCTGAGATACAAAAGAGCAGACTAGGCACCAAAGAAAGCAGACACGGCTGGAAAGCTGGCACTATCTGAAGACAACGGGCGCAGGCCAGGCCACAGCCCAAGAACTCCAAGAATTGCCAGCTGGAGAAGCTGAGACAAGGATTCTCCCCCAGAGCAGACAGAGAGCCTCCCCTAGAGCCGGTGTCCTGAATTCCAGCTTCTAGTCTAAACTAGGAGAAAAGAAATTTCTGCTTGTTAAAGCCCCCCACCTGTGGCATTTCCGCTTAGCAGCCCTAAGAAACTAAGGAGCCCTAGTGGCACAAACAGTTAAGTTCTTTACCTGCTAACCAAAAGGTTGGCAGTTCAAACCCACCCAGCAGCTCCACAGGAGAAAGGCCTGGTGTTATGGACTGAATTGTGTCCCCCAAAATAGTGTTGTAAATCCTGACCTCTATGCCTGTGGTTGGAGCCCCGGTGGTATGGTGGTTAAGAACTCAGCTGCTAACCAAAAGGTCAGCAGTTCAAATCCACCAGCTGTTCCCTGGAAACCCTACTGGGCAGTTTTACTCTGTCCTATAGGGTTGCTATGAGTCGGAACAGACTCCACGGCAATGGGTTTGTTTTACGTCGAATAAATTGTCTTTGTTATGTTAATGAGTCAGGATTAGCGTAGGGTGTGTCTTGAGTAAATCTCTTACAAAATATAAAAGGAGCAGATTAAGGAAGCAGAGATGGGGTAAAATGGATGCAAAGACACGTGGAGATCTTCAAGGAACCAGGAAGCAGAAGCTAAAGAGACAAGGACCTTCCTCCAGAGTCAACAGAGAAAGCCTTCCCCTAGAGCCAGAACCCTGAATTCGGACTTCTAGCCTACCAAACTGTGAGAAAATAAATTTCTGTTTGTAAAAGCCATCCACTTGGAGTATCTCTGTTACAGCAGCACTAGAGAACTAAGACACCTGGCAATCTGCTTTGGTAAAGATTACAGCTTAGAAAACCCTACAGGGCAGTTCTACTCTGTCATATGGGGTTGCTATGAGTCAGAATAGACTTGATGGCATCCAACAACAGGACACAAAGACAGCGAGCATCCTGGCATAGAAGGATTCTTCAGAGGCAGGATTCCTGTGGGGCCTGAAACAGAGGCCAGCGAGGCCTAGGTTCTCAACTTCAATTTGCATTTGAATCACCTCAGAAATTGTTTTAATGACAATGCCCAAGCTCCACCCCAACGAATCAGACTCTGTGGGTTTGAAATGAGGCTTCAGCCCGCACTTGACAACAAATATCTCAGGCGAAGGGTTAGTTTGAGGGCTGTCCTTTGAGAAGCACTGGGCCCCAGGGGGGTCAGGTAAGGATGGAGAGACAGATGGGGGCCTCACAGACACACGCAGAAATTCACATACACTGCAAGGATCCCCTAAACACTGCATCCCCGACTGGATACCAAGAGACTAGGAACACAGCCTTCCAGAGAACAAGCTGATCAAGGTCATTTAAAATACGCCCCAAATAAATTCAGCAGCGGTGTGTTTAATGAGGTAGATGCAGACACTGTCATGGCGTTCTCCTGGCCGAAACGCCAGTGATCAATCTCAAGTACAGACCCTCCATTTAGAAACCTTATCAACCAACAATTGTAAGCAGGGAGTTTAAGCAAGTCGAGGTCAGGGCTGAGGCCATTTCTGGCTAAAGAAACCCTTCTTTGTTTGAAAGGTCAGGCAATCAAATTGTTCAGAAATGAAATCGTCCAAGGCAACAAGTCAAAGGGGGTTTTGAGCAGAAAGAGCTGCAAATCGTCAAAAGGCATCTGCGTAACTGCCCTCCGAGACTTGACTTCAATTCTGTTCTAATTGCCTCCTTAAACGTGATTTAAAATCGAAATGTGAAAGTGTGCAGGTGGGCGGGATACTTCAAACCAGTGCCCGGTCGCTGCCCCCCTTGAAGTGTCTGGCCTTCAGAACAAGGCAGGCAGAGCCACTCATCAGATGGAGATTGACTTTTATCTGATTAACCGATGGAGCATCATCTTTCTCCATCTCGCAGGAACATTCTGGGGAAAGGCGTTCTGCAGACTGCAGGGAAAAGTTGGGCCTTGGCTTCCCTCCTGCTCGGCCAGTGGAAAATTACAAAGGAAGAAGGGCTGCCCTCGGTCCGGGAAACACACAGAGAAACCCGAAAATGGAGTGAGCCTTTACTTACGTGGGGCTGAGAGGAGTCTGGGAGGCGGTGGGGGCGGGGGCGGCGGGGGCAGAGGGGGAGGTGGCCGGCACTGGCAGATGTGTTGGCAGCTGTCAGTCACCCTGGAGCAGGACTTCTGGGGCTCACCGTGAGTCACCTGTGGACACGGGCACGCAAGCCCGAGAGACATAGAAGACAATGAGGCAACCGGGAGTTGAGATGGGCCCACCATCCCCCGCCCCCCGGCCAGCCTGTAACTTTGCATTTCTCCCTGAAGACCAAGGCTTGGAGAATGGGCCCGAAGTTGGGGTTGTTGGTTCAAATGAGAAAATGCTGTGGGAGGTCTGGAGACCAGGGTTTCTTTCCAGCTCTGCCAAGGACCAGCTATGGCAAGTCACCTGGATGTTATGAGCGGTACTCAAGAACTTGAAGTCAACTCGCATAATCTCCCCCATTGTACAAGTGAGGAAACTGAGGTCCAGGCTGGAGAAGTCCCTGCCCGGGGTTCTCACACCCGGATAGTGGTAGGATAGGAACCTGAGCCCACCACTTCTCTCATCTTCCTTGCTTCTGCACTATGCCAAGCCATTGTCTTCTCTCCTGCTGTGTCTTCGGATGGGCTCCCTGCATCTACTCTGGGGGGTGTTAAGGCAAATCCACCATGCTGGAGACAGAACCTTATCCATGCAGGCCTCTGCTCCATTGTCCCCATGTCCGAGGGGATTGGAGCAACCTGCCCAATGTTTAGTCAATTCTCCACACAAAAACCCACCCAACCAAACCACCTCCACACCCAACAACCCTGGAATGCCTTCCCAGTTCTCATGGGATCTCGTGGCCCACCAGGCCCTGCAGGATGTGGCCCCAGACAACGTCACCAGCCCCACTTCGTCCCATGCTCCTGCTCTCTGACCTGCCCTCACTGTCCTTCTTTTGGTTCCTGGATCCTGGCCAAGCTCCCTCCCACTACACAGCATTTGCATATGCTGTTCCCATGGCCCGGATGTCCGCCCACCCTCTCCCCGCTGCCCCTACCCAGCTCTGTGAGCACCTCCTCCGGGCAGTATCTCTGACCTCTCTGGCCAGATCTGACCTCCTTTTAAGGCTCTCCTGGCACCAGGTTCCACTCTCGGTGAGAGAAAGTGGCATTTGGGTGACTACCTGATCCATATCTGTCTTTACCATTGTACTGAAGCTCTTTGAGGACAGGGATCAAGCTTCCCGCCCTCCGCCCCCGCCACTATTATAACCCACAGGAGCCCTGATGGTGCAACAGTTAAGCCCATTGCCGTCAAGTCGGTTCTGACTCATAGCAATCCTATAGGACAGAGGAGAATGCCCCCATAGGGTCTTGAAGGCTGTAATCTTTACAGAAGCAGACTGCCATGTCTTTCTCCTGAGGAGTGGCTGGTGGATTTTAACTACCGACTTTCTGATAACCAGCCAAGTGCTTTAACCACTGCACCATGAAACCATAAAAAAAAAAAAAACCTGCTGCTGTAGAGTCGATTTGGACTCATAGCGACCCTATAGGGCAGAGGAGAACTGCCCCATAGGGTTTCCAAGGAGCAGCTGGTGGATTTGAACTGCCGTCCTTATGGTTAGCAGCTGAGCTCTTAACCACTGTACCACCAGAGCTCCACTGTGCCACCAGGCTCCTTTGATGGTTAAGTGCTTGACAGTTAACTGAAAGGTTGTCAGTTTGAACCCACCAGCTGCTCCGCAGGAGAAAGACCTTGTGATCTGCTCCCGTAAAGATCACAGCCAAGAAGACTCTATGGGGTGATTCAAGTCTGTAACACAGGAAGTCTCTGAGTCGGAAGTGACTCAACGGCACCTAACAAAAATTATAACCCAGCACCCAGGGGAATTCCTGGCCTCAGTAAATATTTGGTGAATGAAAGAATGAAATTTAAAAAAACTGGACCAGAAGCCACGCTCTTTAAGCCTTGGTCTGGCGTTTTTGTCTACACCCATTTCCTCATCTGAAAACTAGGCAGGGTAGCAAGAGTGCGTTGTGCTGGACCAGTGGTTCCCAGTCCTGGCTGCAGGTAAGAATCTCCCGGGCAGCTTTAAAAAACATACCATGACTTAGCCCTTCCCCTGAACAATTAATTCAGATTTTCTGCCCGTGGAACCAGGCACCAGTATTTTGGTTAAGCTTTCCGGTTAAACTTCTCATGTACAGCCAGGTGAGATCCACTGGTTTAGGCTGACTGCCAAGTTCCCTCCCAACACCAGAATGCCATTTTTCCAGGGAACAAGCTGATTTAAAGGCAGGAAGGAAAGAGCTGGTGGTCAACCCCCCCTTCCCCTGCACACACACCCTCCCAATGATAGCCATGATTAATTTCTCCGGCTGTCATCTCTGAGTGCATACAAACCCAGAGACCCCAACTTCCCTGCCCTCGGAGGCCAACACGGAGTCCCCGGGTCATGCAAACGGTTAACACTATCAGCTGCTAATCAAAAGGTTGAGGGTTGGAGTCCACCCAGAGGCACCTGGGAAGAAAGTCCTGGCAATCTATTTCAGAAGAAGCACCCATTGAAAACCCTACAGAGCACAATTCTACTCTGTCACATGGGGCCGCCATGAGTCAGAGTCGACTTGATGGCAATTGGCTTGGAGGCTAACCCCATCCCTTCACTTTTTGCGTCCTGGGCCTGGTAGCAAAAGCCCAAAGGGCTCCCCTCCGCGCTTGGAGGAGGTGAAGAGGCTTGTGTAATGGCCGTGGGGAAGGCGGCAGGAGATGACTTGATGTACAGTCTACCTTAATATCCCAGAGGCCAAGAGGCTCCCGCTTTTAGCATTTTTAAAGGACCATGGACAGAGTTCAGAACTAGAAGGCAATCTGATCTCCCACTAGGTGGAGCAGACCCTGAGATGGTGAGCACTTTTGCAATTATTTTATAGAGCCGATCAACTCCTTACATGCCAGGGCCCAACCCACCAGCCCCTCCCCTGGTGTGGTCGGAACGCCCACCACTGAGCTTGTCCTCTGAATTCGGACCTTCTAAGCCTCTGGGGGTTGCTCAAAAGCTCCCTTCTCCCAATGGCTGGCCTCCGATATCGCATCTCTGCTGAATGCTACAAAGTGTGCGAACTTTGAACAAAGCCATTGCCAAAACAATTACTCTCCCATGCTCCAAGGTGCAATTTATGCACAAGAGTTTAAGAGGAGCACGCTTGTTTAACCTGGCCTGACACAATGACCTATTTTTTGTGAGAGGATATAAGGACACAGATGTATAAGAGTGTTGAATGCGATGAAATCGTAGTCAAGTTGCAAGGCTGAAGGAGGAGGAAGTGAGGGAGTGCCCTGCGTGTTAAAAACCTACAGTTTCTGGTCTCTAGGAATAAAAGCCCCACCGAATTGGGAGGAGTCACGACTGCTTCATGGACTGTTATCACAAAAGCATGAAGTCTAGTCTAATTTTCCTTCTCCCTGGGAGAAAGGCCCCACACGGGGCATCTCACCAGGGTTTCCAAGCAGTCAGATCCAACGCAAGCCTGGGGCTCCCGAGCCTTGCTCAACTGGACCCCTGGTTATGCGAACGGTGTATCCACTTGCCAGGAGGCAGTAGTGGTTCTGTGGTAAAATCCTCGCCTTCCATGCAGGAGACCTGGGTTCGATTCCCGGCCAATGCACCTCATGTGCAGCCACCACCTGTCTGTCGGTGGAGGCTTTCATGTTATTACGATGTTGAACAGGCTTCAGAGGAGCTTCCAGACTAAGATGGACTAGGAAGAAAGATCTACTTCTAAAAATCAGCCAGTGTAAACGCTATGGATCACAACGGTCTGATCTGCAACCCATCATGGGGATGGTGCAGGACCAGGCAGCGTTGTGTCTGCTGTGCATGGGGTTGCCATGAGTCGGCGGCTGACTTGATCCGCTCGCCAACTTCAAGCCATTCTTCACACCCAGCTCTTGCACAAACTTGGGCAAGCTGTCCTGAACCCCGTGCCCCCTGAACTTGACCTACCTGCCTGTTGCTGCTTCAAAACACTTTTTAGCACTTCCCTCACTGTTTTGTAATGTCTGTCTCCTCACAATTGATTGTGAGTGTCTTGAGGGGCCAGGCAGGTAAGTCTGTGCTTTGCTTCTCCCTACTATGTGTCAGACACATGACACACGCTCTCCTTTCATCCTGAGGATGGGGAGAGGCGGGTATCATTATCCACACCTAATGGAAGGGACAACACGCTCGGAGACACTAAGTAACGTACCCAAAGTGGCGTTCAGTCCGGGCTCAATAAAAAGGCATTGAGGGGTGGGTCTGCCCATGAGTGGAGAAACATAGGATCTATCCCGTCCCCCAACTCTGGCTCCATTTTAAGATATAAACCTTGTTTCAGCTCCTGGCTGGTTTGTATCTTGGGCAGTCCCACAGCAGAAGAAACTTGAACACTGACGTCACCTGCTCTAAGCTAGACTCGCCTAAGAGGGAGCAGAGGACCGGGGAGGTAAGTGAGTTGCCTTAAGTCCACAGAACAAAAGCTGCTATCATTACTTCCGGTGACCACTTCTATTGCAGTTGTGCCCTCATCTGCCTTCCCGCCCCCGCTCTGCAGTGTTCTCATGGGACCAGGATCCTGTCAATGCTACACTCACAGAGAGATAGGTCCCTCAGGTAGTCATCAGTAGGTCCCACAGTCACCTGGACTTAGTGCCTATAAAAGGTACGCGTAAGAGAGAACAGAACTCACCCCTGCTACCTGGCTGCAGGGATGGCTGAGGAGAGACCAGAGGTACCTCAATGTGTCTAGCATGTCCCCCTCTGTCCCCAGAAACTTTCTAGCTTGGAGGGTACAGGGAACTCAGATGGCATAGCACCCCACATCTGCCACTTCTCTGCCCTCTGTCCCACAGCTGGCCAATCAGTGCAGCTTTCTGCTGTCCGGCTCACCTGGTCCCATGGACATTGCCTCCTACATAGACTTTGAACCCATCCATTTCTCCCTCGCTGCCACGACCCTAAACCAGGCCACCGCCATATCTCCCAGGGCAGCACTTGCCCTCCTATCTCGAATCCATCCTTTGTGCTGGAACTTTCTAAAATGTCAACCTGAGATCATGTTTTCTCTTGCTTAGAACCCTCAACAGTCCCCACAGCCCTCAGGATCAAGTCCAAAAGTGCGATGCCATGTTAGTGGCTTACAACAGTGGCCTTACCTGGTGCTTTCCTGCTCTCGGTTCCTCCACTTCCCCTCCTCAGGCCTCAGGGCTGTTGCCTCAGCCAGGACTCCTCACCCTCGCTTCGCATCCTGCCTCCTCATCCTTCAGGTCTCAGCTTAAGCACGACATCTTTGAGGCATCACTGGCTCCTCAGCCAGGTCTTTTCTCCCGGCTGTTGGCTCCCTCTGAGCTCTCTTGCCTATAATTACTTGTTTAATTATCTCTCCATCGCCAAACTATCCATCCCATGAGGGCAGAGACCCCTCCATCCCTTGCACTTACTACAAGGCTTGGCATACAGTAGGTGCCCTATAAGTTCTGCTGAATAATGAAGCTGTAGTGGCTGGCTTGAGGAGGGGTTCAACATCTCTTGGGTCTGGGGTAGCTACTCCTCAGCACGCAGAGACCACCCCCCACCCACTCAGAGCCTGTCTCCCCGATGAGTGCTTTAGGAAGGCGACCACAGCGAGGACGGCTTCTGGCATCTTTTATGGAGACAGGCCAGCACCTCAGTAACTTGATGAGACACACTGCTGTCACACCTAATAAATTTCCCAGCCCATCATCCTCTTTGCTTGCAAAGGATGGAATCATCTGGAAGTGAACTTAGAAGAACCCTAAATCACAAAAGCTCAATTCTAGACACATTAAAGAAAAAAGGAGGAAAGCCTAAGACATGCCCCCACCAACTCGTCTGGCAACTGAAATGCCATCTGAATTTAATGATTAAGTGTCTTATCATCTGGACAGCAGTTAGAGACTCTGGGTGGATTTCAACGTAGGAACCTGGTGGTTTGGGGAACCACGGGTCTCTTGCCGCATCAATTACCCTGAGAATTATCGGACTTTGTGATTTGACCTACCCTTCCTAATGTTTACCATTTTGGGGGATTCTTCTGGAAAAATGCTCATTAAAGCACGGATAGCTCTGAGTTCTCTCTTTATATTTGAGAACCCCCATGACAAAACTGATTTTACTTCCTCTGCTTAAAGGGAAACACGTGGCTTTGTGCACTTCCGTTCTTCCTCTTCTCCTCTATGTTCCCTTGGTTTCAGCTCTTTTGCTGAAAGACCAGACCTGTTCATTCCACAGCCCCCCATCCGTGGTTTCCCAGTCCCTATCATCTGTAGATTAATTTTTCCAAAGCCTGAAGCCAAGATGCTACCATTCTACTTGTCTGAAGGATCCCTTTTCTAATTGATTTTCAGGAAAATTGATTTGAATTGAGTAACAGCATCTGAAATACACACACATGTGATTGCTTGTGTAAGCACTGCCTGGCCGAAGGACACTGTTTAAAAAACTGAGCTGCTTTCAAATAATTCTTTCTTTCGGTGGCAGCAGTGGAGGCTAGCGGGTGTTATTTCGACCCTGTTACTTCGTCTCTCATATTTTGGACATGTTATCAGGAGGGACCAGTCCTTGGAGAAAGACATCATGGTTGGTAAAGTAGAGGGTTGGCAAAAACGTGCAAGACCCTCAACCAGATGGATTGACACAGTTTCTGCAACAATGGGCTCAAACATAGCAACGACTGTGAAGATGGCATAGGACCGGGCAGTGTTTCCTTCTGTTACACATGGGGTTGCTATGAGTTGGAACTGACCCGAGGGCACCTAACAACAACAACAGTTCATGCAACGGAATTCTAGTCTTGGAGATAGACAACATAGTCAAGTTGCTCTCCATACTAGCCAAAAACTCTCACAGAAGAGAGAAAAACTATAAACAAATGTATATCAAAAATACAGGAACTTAACATCAGCAGTTCAGCTCAAAGCTGAACGACAGGGGAAGTCGGTCCCAATCCCCTAAGTGTTTAGAAGTGACAAAACCCTGAATCCTGCGGAGGTACAGCTGAGTGTAATAACTGGTGTTTCACACATTAAACAAAGCTGTCAATTCCGAAAGGAAAACAACTGTGAGTGAGACAGAGGCAAGCCAGAAAAGAGAGCTGGAGCCGGGGACTGCTGCCGGGAGGGGGGTGCAACTGGCCGCCTCGCACACTTGACTGGCACACTTGTCCCAGCATCACAGCCCCTGACTCTCTCTGTCACCCAAGCCACCATCTGAGCACGCTGGCAGAGCTGGTTCCCAGCAGGGCCCCATCACTTGGGACGGCACGTAGATCATGACAGACTGGCAAACTGCCCCATCCCTACTTCTTTGGCCAGTCACCCACTACTCAGGGCAGCCATCTGAACAGTCCCCAACCCCCAAAGTGCCACCAGGAGAACACGAAGCTGCAAATACCCCAGAGTGGGTCCCTCAGTGGTCAAAACAGTAAAAATGTCCTCCAGAGCCTGCTGAATCACTAGCAATTCAAAAATGCCCAACCGAGTGCCCGGAAGCCAGATATAAGAGCAGTGTCACTATTACTAATAATGGCAGTGGTGGCAGCAGCTACTATGCAGTGGTTATTAGGGTCCAGGCACTGCACTCTGATCTTTACTTGCTTTATCTCATCAAATACAACAGCACAGTGAGGAAGGAGAAACAGAGGCTCAGAGAGGCAAGGGGCAGAGCTAGGACGGAAAACTCTGAGATGACACCAAAATTCACCTCTTCACCACTCCACTGTACCAATGACCTGACGCACGCCGGGAGGCACTAGGAACCATCTGGTCTGTCCCGCTCTCTGACCCTGACAGAAGTAACTCCAGCTGGTGGCTGCCTGGCCTCTGCCTTGAGGTTTGGGGATTGAGAGTGAGGGCTTGCCTCCTCAGGCAGTCCTTATGGATGGAAATTTCCTTCTTATGTTCCCCACACACAAAATCTGTCCACACCCCAACTCCGCTACCTACAATCAACACAGCCCGATCCTGTCTGGAAGGCCAATTTAAGAAGGCTAATTTGAAGTTTATCAGTGGTTCCGGTGGGAAATAAAGAATGTATATTCCTGGGACATGTTTTTTTCTTTTTTTTTTTAAGTTTGAAAAACCGCCTGAGGCTCTGTCCCCACATTTTTGCAACAGTCTGCTACCATCAAAGAGCATCTCTAACCCCGCTTCTGCGCTAAGGCCCTGTCCTGCAGGCCTTACCGGGCGGCAGCTGAAGCCTCTCTCCCCAGAGTTGTCTGGGTTTTGTTTCGCTTTGTTTTTCCACCTTTTCAAGGTCAGAGGATGAGGGACCCTAAGATCTTTTCTTTTCTGAAGCTCTTATTAAGGGCACGACTGCCATCTGAAAGGTTGGCAGTTTCAACCTACCAGCCGCTTTGGGAGAAAGATGTGGCAGTCTGCTTCCATGAAGATTTACAGCCTTGGAAACCCTATGGGGCAGTTCTACTCTGTCCCATAGGGTCGCTATGAGTCAGAATCGACTGGACGGCAAAGGGTTTGAAGCTCTCTCTGGGACCAATCAGAGGAGCCGCTGCAGGGAGAGGGCATGAAGTCCCCAGACACCCCGCCCTGGAGGCCTAGCAGCCCGCGCTGAGCCCGCGCCCAGCCGGAGCCCAGCCCGCGCCCTGCTCACCTGCACGAAGCCCCAGAGCGGGTGGAGCGCGCAGTGCAGCAGCAGTGAGGGCCAGCAGCAGCCTCCGCGCAGCACCAGGTCCCGGAGCAGCATCTCGGCCCGGGAAGCCCGCTCGCGGGGCGAACTGTCAGAAGAGCGAGGATCCGGTCAGACGCGCGGCCGCGCGGACACCATCGCCGACGCCCGCCTGCACACATACCATCCCGACCGGGCGGGCACGCCCCGCACTCTGGGACATCTTCAGTGAAGCCTGCCCACCCGCTGACCCTGCGCGCACACTCACTGAAGCCTGCAGCCCAGAACTCACAACCTACCCCGGTGCATACCTCCACAACCCTGAGTGCACACCTTAGCCTAGCCCCGTGCACACCCCCAGAATCCTGCGTGCACACCTTGGCCCCGTGCACACCCCCAGAAACAACCAAGCACAGTTACCGAGCCCCGTGCACACCCCCAGAAACAGCCATACACAACTCACTCCGACCCTGCAAACACGGCGGGGCACAACTCTCTCCGCGTGCACACCCACAGAACCAGCCGTGCACACCCACTAACCCCCGTGCACACCCAGCGACTCCAGTCTGCACACTCACTGACCCTGCAGCCACGCCGCCCCAAGATCACATGCTGCGTGCACCCTCTTTGCCCCGCCGGCTCTCACTGCGTACACTGCAACATAGGCACCTCCGTGTGCACCCTCGTTTGCCCTCGCGCCCACCCCCAGCCCACATCCAGCTCCTCCCGCACCCCTCCAGTACCTATGCCACCTTGCTTGGCAGCGGCCCCAGCGGCTCCTCGGTGCCGCGAAGGGCGGTCCGCGTCCCCCCGCTGCAGCTCAGCTTCGGAGCCGCCGGACGGCCCCCATTTAAAGCCCGCCGCCTCCCCAGTCCCCCGCCCTTTAGGCGGGGCCTCAGTGCTCACCCTGGGGCGGCGCGGGCGCCAGGGGGTTTCACATGCCGAGAGGAGCGCCGGGCACTGGAGCAAAAGTTTGCGCGCGGCTGGGGCCTCCAGGGCGCGGAGCCGGGGCCCGGGTGCGGCGAGCTCGCACGGGGCGCGGGGGCT